ATGAGAAAAAAAATCCAAACAATCACATTGGCTGATTTGGAAAGAATTTATTTGCAAATTATGGTGGAAAATAAGTATTTGGCCACCTACAAACAAGCAAAATATCTGGCTCTCACAGACCTGTACCTTCTTCTTTAAGAGGCTCCTCTGTCCTGCACTCATTACCTGTATCAATGGCACCTGTTTGAACTTGTTATCAGCATAAAAGACACCTGTCCACAACATCAAACAGTCACACTCCAAACTCCACTATGGTGAAGACCAAAGAGCTGTCGAAGGACACCAGAAACAAAATTGTAGACCTACACCAGGCTGGGAAGACTGAATCTGCAATAGGCAAGCAGCTTGGTGTGAACAAATCAACTGTGGGAGCAATAATTAGAAAATGGAAGACTTACAAGACCACTGATAATCTCCATCGATCTGGGGCTCCACGCAAGAACTCACCCCGTGGGGTCAAAATGATCACAAGAACGGTGAGCAAAAATCCCAGGACCACACGGGGGGACCTAGTGAATGACCTGCAGAGAGCTGGGACCAACGTAACAAAGGCTACCATCAGTAACACACTACGCCGCCAAGGACTCAGATCTTGCAGTGCCAGACGTGTCCCCCTGCTTAAGCCAGTACATGTCCGGGCCCATCTGAAGTTTGCTAGAGAGCATTTGGATGATCCAGAAGAGGATTGGGAGAATGTCATATGGTCAGATGAAACCAAAATAGAACTGTCTGGTAGAAACACAACTCGTCGTGTTTAGAGGAGAGAGAATGCTGAGTTGCATCCAAAGAACACCATACCTACTGTGAAGCATGGGGGTGGCAACATCATGCTTTGGGGCTGTTTCTCCGCAAAGGGACCAGGATGACTGATCCATGTACAGGACAGAATGAATGGGGCCATGTATCGTGAGGTTTGAGTGCAAACCTCCTTCCACCAGCAAGGGCATTGAAGATGAAACGTGGCTGGGTCTTCCAACATGACAATGATCCCAAACATACCGCCCGGGCAACGAAGGAGTGGCTTCGTAAGAAGCATTTCAAGGTCCTGGAGTGGCCTGGCCAGTCTCCACATCTCAACCCCATAGAAAACCTTTGGAGGGAATTGAAAGTCCGTGTTGCCCAGCGACAGCCCCAAAACATCACTGCTCTAGAGGAGATCTGCATGGAGGAATGGGCCAACATACCAGCAACAGTGTGTGCCAACCTTGTGAAGACTTACAGGAAACGTTTGACCTCTGTCATTGCCAACAAAGGATATATAACAAAGTATTGAGATGAACTTTTGATATTGACCAAATACTTATTTTCCACCATAATTTGCAAAGAAATTCTTTCCAGATCAGCCAATGTGATTGTCTGGATTTTTTTTCTCATTTTGGCTCTCATAGTTGAGGTCTACCTATGATGCCAATTACAGGCCTTTCTCATCTTTTTAAGTGGGAGAACGTGCACAATTGGTGGCTGACTAAATACTTTTTTGCCCCACTGTATATACTTTAAGAACTCTAGTTAAAGTAATACAAAAATAAAGCTAACCAAAAAGCATTAAACTTTTAAATTATAATTTAATTACATAAATATAAAAATCACATGGCAAAAATGATTTCACCTTTTATATAGATTGAAAACATTTATTGTAGTGTACAGAGTTCATTATTTGGAACATAAATGACCGCACAGTTACAATTCACCACAAAGATACATTTTGTTAAGGCGATTTTTTTTTTTTTTTTTGACAATCCCACAGAGGTGCCTACCTTGTCAAATTGTAAGCAAACACATTATCATAATCCTGATCATCAGTCATATTGGTTCTATTGCTGGTTAAAAAAACAAAAAAACACCACAGCCTCTCTGTTCTACTTACTTTTTTCATCTGGAGCGGTCTGTTGTAGTACATGAATAACACCCAGTATCATTTATCCCAGAAGACTTAAGGAGACAGCGTGCAGGGCAAGGCTACGACACCCTGCACTTACAGTGTAAGGATTCTATAGAGTCGTGTGGAAATCATCGCTCCTCTCTGCAATAATGAGGACCACACAATGCTGCAGAAAGATCTAGAAAAGGTATATATAAAAATGCTGGAGGAGATATCTACAAAAGATGTGTATATATAAAAAACACATATATATGACATACTGCCAGGGCCTCCAGAGTGGAAAAGGAGGTGATTGGGCCAGGTTTCACTTTTAAAAATAGAGTTAAAATTTCCCCCACGTGTCCATCTATGTGGATTAGCAACAGTCCATCTTCTCAGAACCACCAATCAGCAGCTTGTGCTGAAAAAGGGCCTGGAAAATCTTAAGACTGCCATTGTTTGCTTTTATTTTTGTGTTTGGACAGACTGAGAGGAGGGTTTTATTTTTGTCTTTACTCCTATTGGCAGGAAGTCACTTTTATTTCCTGTTCTGCTGACAGGAACAGGAAATGATGGCCAATCTCTGCAATGGGGATACAGCAATAAAACACTTTAGTGGAGTGCGGAATGGTTAGCACCCCCATACGTTTTTTAGTGCCGTCTCTGCCTATCCTACTAAAACCCTGGGAGCTTGGCACATGAAGTACCGAATGAAGGAGGATTTGACTCAAGGTAAATAAATTTTTTGTTTACTTCACAAGGCTTGTGAATCACATAGTAACTGGATTTAGGACTTGTTCAGACTGTCATACAAAAGCATTAAGTTGTACATTGAGAGCTGGATTTTCTCTCTAAAAAACAGCTAATTGCTGTGTTCCAAGGTTCTATGGCAGGAGGATCGCTAGGGTCAGATGCAAATGTTCCACTTTCTAGTTGAAAGTGGAAAATTCCTGTAAATTACTTTCTTTATAGACAGGCGGTCAAACAGAAACAATTGTGGTAAAATGATGAGAAGTCATTATATTACCACAATTCAGAAGACATCTCTATAGAATAACATAAGGAAAATGCACTAAAAAACCATTTCTAATCTGGAGCCAAAATAAAAATATTAGATCAGAAAAGTTTAAGAAATCACAAAGCTGCCCCCCACCCCTACAGCTGACATTGTTGTGTGTGGCCTAAGACATATATATCCAAATTTTAAATGATCTAAATCACATGCAAGCATGTTCCATTTTTGCTGAAATTTTACACAAAATTTAATAGATATGGTCAGTTTCCATATTCAGTGATTTTCAGGGGACCATTACTGGCCCATGTACATGTGCATGTGCATGTGCATCAGATGTACTAAACTGTAAATAAGCAGCAAGCCAGCAGGACATCCAAATATCCCTGTAAATTAACAAAGTGAATGTATACCTCTCCCACTATATCTGCCACTGATCGCGTCCTGAAGACCTACCACTGCCTTAAAGTGGTTGTAAAGGCTAAAGGTCTTTTTACCTTCATGTATTCTGTGCATGAAGGTAAACAACTTTCTATGTGCAGCAGACCCCCCCCAAATACTTATCTGAGCCCCGTCTTGATCTAGTGATGCTCATGAGAGCAGTGGCTCTCCTGAGTCTCTTCCTCCTCACTGGCTGAGACAGCAGCAGGAGCCACAGGCTCCCACTATTGTCGATTACAGCCAGTGCACCAATGATGAGAGGGTGGGGCGGAGCCACACGCTCCCTGTGTGAATGGACAGTAGTGGCTCGGGATTACGCCTGTTTGTTTGCCCCCATAGCACACTGCTTGCTATGGGGGCATTCAGCAAGAGGGAGAGGTCAGGAGTGCCGGCAGGGAACCCGAGAAGAGGATCCCTGCTGTTCTGTGCAAAACCATTACACAGGGCAGGTAAGTATGACATGTTATTTAGAAAAAAAAAAAAATCTGCCTTTAATATTACTTTATGACATTCAGAATCCAAGACTTCTGCGTTTGTTGGATGCCTGTTTCCCTAGCCACACTCTGTGGTTTCTTCTGCCCAGCAGTGGGACAAAGCATGCGATACACCCAGAAGTCTTGGATGCTATAAATTCTTTAGGCAGCAGCAGCTCTTCAGGACAACAAGCAATGGCAGCTCTAGCAGTGGAACAGGTAAGTATTAAATTTTTACTGGCTTTTTTTTTTTTTCAGAAATGACAGAAAGCGACTTTAGAACTGAAAGGTACCCATAGATATTATATAATATTTGATGAGAAATAGGGAGGTTTATGAGGCACATACGATTGTAGAAGACTTCTTCCAGGACATCTGCCTGTTTTGTTTTTTTTTTTTATCAGCTCTGGACATCTGCAGGTGAACCTAGCAAAATAATTTAATTTCCCCTATATTTTACTCCTTAGAAGTTATCTCCCATTTCACTTGTTTGATGGACTATTCAATTAAAAAGAAGCACTGCACATAAAGCTGATAGCATATTTCCCCAAATGTAAATAAAAAGGCATGGTCATTCATCTAATGCCTAGGGGCAGTATGATAGTTACATACAGCACTGGTCAGATGCCAACATCCAGTATATTCAAGTATAAGGTGTAAAATTGTCAGCTATGTGAAAAACACACCCATCACAGAGGTACGGTATATACGGGTACGGGACCGGTTACCTCTCTGTTGCCACAGCACTCTAGAGATAAAATGCAAAATATGGCTTTGAAAAAGTCAATATTTGCATATGGATCGGGAACCTCTTGCACTCAGCACAGACGTCACACGGGCACAAAGTACCAATAATACTTTTTTTTTGGGGGGGGGGGGGGGGGGGGGGTTTTAAAGAAATGGACACTTTACATGGTAGTTTAAAAAAAAAATGTCACGTTCCTGGAAATACTCTCGAGATGAGATGCTCTGTTTTAGAGAAAAGGTAGAAAAGATTCACTTTACAAGGCTGTAACATGGCCATTTCAAATATTCAAGCTTACTGGAGTTGAGATTGTTCATAGTAACAGTAATGCCCAGAATATGACAGCAAGTGAACAAAGTCGCTATACATCAAAGTGCATTTTCAGCCTTCACCATTTAAAAACAAAAAGGGTCGAACAACATATAAATAGCTAAAATTGAGGACACATGATTAGAACCTCAGCATCATTCATGGTATATCAAGGAGGTTATGCTGGGAGTAGAGTTCTTGAGTAAAGTCATAGACATTACAGACATATGGCATAGCTTCTCCAAGCATGTCCACCACATCTTCTGTAGTCCCAACATTCATTACCTCAAAGAATGTGTTCCGAGTTGGAAGGACCAAGAAGGCTACATTTGCGGTTTTACGTATAAGCCAAGGGTGATAGTTGGCCAAAGAGTCATTGTAGGCCTCCGCGCACAGGGTGGAGGTCGTGCTGTCCTCCTTGCTGGTTCTCAGCTTCTCCAAAAAGAGTTGGAGCCAGCGCAGGGCCCGGTGTAAACGCAGAATGGTGCGACAGCCTGATTCTGGGTGACTGCCTCGTTTATTTAGATCAACCAGGTTAGAGCTGAGCTCGTATTCCACCATGGACTGGAGGGTACGGTAACGCTCTCCGTGTTCCCCAGCCAAATACTTTTCCATTATCTGGATTTTGCTTACTGCATCTTTGGACACAAATGAAAACACAGTTCCCAGACTGTTCATAAACCTGATTTTAAGAAAAAAAAAAAATGCATCTTGATATAAAGGATAAAAAGAAAAACCATAACCAACACTTCGTACATTACAGTTTTATGATTTATTGAAACAAAAATATTTTACCACTCCACCAAAAAAACTGTTCTCACCTAGCAGCGTATGCTGGCATGTTTTATAAAATTCTAATATTTGCCAAGCTGTTGTGGCTGTAATGAGGGGGGGGGGTCTAGATCTTGCAGTTTTTATTTTTTTTGTATAAATAATTATATTGAACATTTTTCAGTATTTTTTTTAATTATTATTATTATTGACATACTGCATGGCCTCTCTAAAAATTTCCAGCACATCTTCTGTAATTCCATTATTCTTCTATTCTTCTGGAAGAGCCAGGAAGGCACAGCTGCAGATTCAAGGAAACCTGAACGGAGAATGTGTAGGCTGCCACTGCTGACTTCCCCTGCAAATGCCATTTGCCTGGCTGTCATGCTGATCCAAAGGCTTTGACATGCAGTCAAGTTGTGACTTCACTCTGCTTTCTATTTTTCATATTTGTTCAGGGTCAGTTACTCAGAAAGTACTAAAGGCAGAGACACCCAGGTATTTAGTATTCTTATTAGCAGGACAATAATGGCAGAACCCATATGTCTCAGTGTACGTCTATTCCAAATCATGATCTAAGAGAGGTAGTTGGAGACAGTGATGCCGATGTGCTAAAGTAGTTGAGAATGTTCACTCCAAAAACTGAAGATTTAGTTCCATTATCGAATCGTGCAGAAGAAATAAACAGGAATGTGTCTTTCACACGACTAGATAATTAAAGTAAATTTTGAGTGAACAATTTAGTAATTTTGTCGCACTGTTATTGTAGGCCTCTGTACACAAGATCAAAGTCTTTATGCCCTCTGTGCTGGTACTCAGTTTCAACAGAGATGGACCCACTGCCAGCACAGGGAACTGAAGCCTTTTATATGGTGCAGACACACACTGGGAATCTTTAGCTGTCTTCAAGCAGTATAGTTATATGTTGTATGTCAAATAGTTTAGAGTTTGGGTCACAGCAGTGTGACTGCACATATGGGACAGAGCTATGACCTCCATAGGGGAGATCTCAGTGCATGAGAAATACAAATAGCAGTAAATGATTCAAACCACCAGCATCAACCAAAACTAATACCAGCTGTAGATCGTCTTGTACTGTACAAATTGGGCCAAAATGTAGTAAAAGCAGATATTTGATTCTTACAATATGGTGGTGTAAGTAAAGTATGACTGGGGGGGGGGGGGGGCGCGCGTGTTTGAGAGATACAAAAAGGTAATAACTGTGGGGGATGAGCTGATGGAGACAATGTGCAAGATGTGTTTTTATTTAGGCTTTTATTGCTGTATCTCTAGATTTGTCCTGTTTACCATTATCATTGAAAGTTAAAGAAAATCCCAAAGTTTGGGTTGTCCCCAGAAAAGTAATAGAGGTGAAATCTTCCATTGGGGATATTAGTTCTGGTCACGTAGGGGGGCACAAGGGATTCTCTTAATTTGCAGGGATTTCATCTCACTTCCTGTTTTGGCTATGGAATAGGAAGTGAAGGTAAATCTACCCAATGGGTTAGTGATAGGAGAAAAAAAAAAAAACACAAACAAAAAAACAGAGAAGTTAGAACCCTCCCTTACTCTATTTAAAATACTAATTACAAAAAAAAAAAAAGTAAAATACTGCTAAAGGGTGGCAGGGGTGCACAAAATCACGTATATATACACGTGATTTCACATTTCTGGGTAGGAGGCGCACGCACCCTACCCGTGCCGCCATTTGCTGCCTCGACTGTCAATCACTGGGGCCCAGCCAGGGATTACTCACCAGCACCCGGTGATCGCCGAGTATTAATGACAGGAGGGACCTGTATGTAAAAAAATAGAAATCTCTCCCCTGTCATTACTAGTAAAAAAAAAAAAAAAAATTCCAATATATGTACCGTCATTTGTAAACGCTATAACTTTCATGTAAACCAATTGATTTACACGTATTGGGATTTTTTTTTTCTAGCAAAGACATGTAGCAGAATACATTTTGGCCTGAATTTGACGAAATCTGATTTTTTGTTTTTACTGGATATGTTTTAATAGCAAAAAGTCAAAAATATAGTTTTTTTTTCTCAAAATTGTCGGTCTTTTTTTGTTTATAGCGCAAAAAATAAAAACCGCACAGGCAATCAAATACCACCGAGAGAAAGCTCTATTTGTAAGAAAAAATGGACGTAATTTCATTTGGGTGCAGCGTTGCATGACCACGCAATTGTCAGTTAAAGTAAAACAGCACCGTATCGCAAAAAATGGCCTGGTCAGGAAGGGGGGGGGTAAATCCTCTGGAGGGCAAGTGGTTAAACTAAAAGACCATGTGTTTGTAGTGTTCATATACCATGCCAACTGATCAACATTGCAGATTACATTTTTCAGCAGATTACAAAATTATTTGACTGGTTGCTTTGACTTTTCATTTCATGCACTCAGAAGGTTTTTTACCTTCATGCATAGAATTCATGAAGATAAAAAAAAACCTGAGCCTTTACAACCACTTTCAGTTCTCATCTTCTCTCCTCATCTGTAGTGGTGGGTGGAGAAAGCCCCCCACCTTAACATACAACAGGGCATATGTAGAATAGCTGAAAGGAAAAAGTAGATATGACAAAGGCATTTAGCTGTTCCCAGGTGAAGTCCGAATGTTAGCTGGGCAAACCAAAATCCATGTGAAGCTCACAAACTAACCGGGTTCTCACCTCACCAATCCCTTCCATCCGCTCAGATAATGTTCTACTAGGACATCTTGGTCATCATCCACTAAACAGGACTTGAAGCTGACCAGGACCTCCTGCAGTGAGAACTTCTCCTCTGTGCTGGACATGGTAAACTGGTCTTAGTATAAATGTTCTTCAGCTGACCTGTATAAAGAAAAAAAACAGTACAAATTTTGTAAAACAGTAGAGATGTAGAACAAAAAAGCTAACTAGATTTTTAAAGCCCAACTATGGGCTAGATTTTGTTTCCAGGTGTTGAAAAAAAAAAAATGTAAAACAAAACACTTCTGGCCCTTACAGTCACTTGTAATCTGGACATATCCCACGTAGCACCCCTTCTTCATGTCTTACGGATTGAATCATGCCTAGCATCACTTAGCCTAAAAGACGGAGGACAATACTATGAATTCAGGGTATCGTGTCCGCAGTCTCCGGTCATCCCCTGCACTGTGTCCGCAGTCTCCGGTCATCCCCTGCACTGTGTCCGCAGTCTCCGGTCATCCCCTGCACTGTGTCCGCAGTCTCCGGTCATCCCCTGCACTGTGTCCGCAGTCTCCGGTCATCCCCTGCACTGTGTCCGCAGTCTCCGGTCATCCCCTGCACTGTGTCCGCAGTCTCCGGTCATCTCCTGCACTGTGTCCGCAGTCTCCGGTCATCTCCTGCACTGTGTCCGCAGTCTTCTGTCATCCCCTGCACTGTGTCCGCAGTCTCCGGTCATCCCCTGCACTGTGTCCGCAGTCTCCGGTCATCTCCTGCACTGTGTCCGCAGTCTCCGGTCATCTCCTGCACTGTGTCCGCAGTCTCCGGTCATCTCCTGCACTGTGTCCGCATCTCTCGGTCATCTCCTGCACTGTGTCCGCAGTCTCCGGTCATCTCCTGTACTGTGTCCGCAGTCTCCGGTCATCTCCTGTACTGTGTCCGCAGTCTCCGGTCATCTCCTGTACTGTGTCCGCAGTCTATGGTCATCTCCTGTACTGTGTCTGCAGTCTCTGGTCATCTCCTGTACTTGTGTCCGCAGTCTCTGGTCATCCCCTGTATTGTGTCCGCAGTCTCTGGTCATCTCTTGTACTGTGTCCGCAGTCTCTGGTCATCTCCTGTACTGTGTCCGCAGTCTCTGGTCATCTCCTGTACTGTGTCCGCAGTCTCTGGTCATCTCCTGTACTGTGTCCGCAGTCTCTGGTCATCTCCTGTACTGTGTCCGCAGTCTCTGGTCATCTCCTGTACTATGTCCGCAATCTCTGGTCATCTCCTGTACTATGTCCGCAGTATCTGGTCATTTCCTGTATCGTGTCTGCAGTCCATTGGTTCAGAATATTTTTTTTATTGTTTTTCTCCTCTAAAACATAGGTACATCTTATGGTCAGGTGTGTCTTATGGAGCAAAAAATACGGTAATTATAATAATTGTCAATATACAAAAAAATTCCTTGAGGATGAGAAGGAATGCTTTAAGCGGTATGAAATCCAAAACCAAAAATGTAATATATTGAATCCTACCAATTTTCAGATAAGGCAGCTACATTTATTTTCTTTTTTCAACTTCATTTAACAGACTGAGTTGAGCAAAAATGGCAGTTAAAAGTGTCGAGACAAACCATTTACCACTGCCAGGAGTGCTTACAGTGGTCAGCTTTTTTTATGTATATCCTTTATGTCAAAAGGAAAAGAAACTTTTGTTCTAATGGCTTAAAAAGTGTTAGCTGGAGTTCAGCTTTAATTTGTTAGTCAAATCCATAAATCTGCTAGTCCATCTAACTCTTCCCAGACTGACAATACTGCTGTCCAAAGGTGTTGCTGTTGCTCTACTAGTGGAGTGGAGACACCCCAAGACAAAAAAGTGTGTAACTGGCCAGATCACCGGGTGAAAAAAAAAAAGCCCAAAGAAAACGAATGCAGCCACCACATTAAAGAATGGGTAAGTGGCAATATATAACATTTTTCTTTTGGCGTTAAATACTGCTATAATTACTGAATTCACATGAAGCATCACCTCTGACCAATCACAGAAATGACCCACAAAATGCACTGGGCCTCATTTATTAAACCTTGTAAAAAAAGAGCCCATCTCAGTCTATCTTTCCCATAGCAATGATCTATTATCTGCCTGCTGTATTCCAGAGGAGCCAGAATCCAGCAACAGAGACCTGCGATGTCTATACACATCCAGAGAGAAGGAAGACACACGTCTTCACCTCATTAAATGTCACCAAGACGCACTGTTTGTATGACACGCATCACAATACAAAGGCCGCTAAGATGGCCTCCCACATCCTGGAAGCCTTCTACTACAGCTCCAGCTCTACAAAAGACAAGTCAGGCATCTCATTCTCTCAACACCCATTCAAAAGAGTCAAGCAAAGTCATCTACAAGCACCGAGTGACTAATGCTACCCTACACATACTGCAACCTTTCTGAAAGGGAATTCATACGTGACCTATTTTTTCTGCCAAAGGATCTGTTCAGCCTGTGATCCTGGCATAATGAGATTAATATAATTGTGTTTGGTCTAGGCACTTGCCCATTAGGTCAATGGACAATGAAACAACAGCAGCACACTGATGAGGTCATCACTCTGTTCTCTCCTCCTGTCAGTAAGCTTTTAGTGTTAGATGGACAGTGCTGTACATTGCAGTAGAGCCATGATTGGCTGGCAGTGAACCCCAACCTCTCCCAGTTTGAGAGCTGTAGTGAAGGGATCACATTCAGATACTGTTGAAACTTGTATGTAAAAACATATGCAATTACTTTTTAATGAATCAGTCGCTGGATTCAACTCCGTTTTTGATTTAAAGTGTTACTAAAGGCAGGTTTTTCGTAGTGTTTAAAGAAAATAATAAACATGTTTTACTCACCTACAAAACTATTGCTCAGAGTGGTTCCAAACCTCCTCTTTTGGGGTTCCCCACCAGTGATTTGGCTCCTCCTCTTCTCCGTGTGCCTCCATAGCAAGCTGCATGCTATGGGGGCACACATGCATGTTTGAACCCAAGCGGTGTGTGTCTATGGAGCCAAGCTACATAGACACGCACAGTGCTGCTTGCTCCCCCACCTTCAACAGCATTTGATTGAAAGCAGCAGAAACCAATGGCTCTTGCTGCTGGCCATGTAAAGAGAAAGAGAGGAGAGAAAAGATGCAGTTGTGCACAGCACTGGATTGATTGAGGACTCAGGTACTATTTGGGGGTGGAAAAAGGGGGGGGGTCACAGCAAGCTGTAAAAACTTTTTTCAAGAAATGCATTAGGGTAAAAAACATTTTGGCTTTAGAACCACTTTAAAGATCAAGAGTTCAGTTTTACAGTGAAGGGCCAGGAATTAACTTTTTTTGCAAATTTACATTGCTCCAGCTTGGCTTAAACTAAGTGTCCAGGTCTCTAATTGCAGGAGGTGGAGATGGTGACATCACCCACTTCACCTTACCACCTCATCCAATCAGAGAACACCTTGTATTCATTGAAAAATACAAAAAAAACATTCTCTGAAGACCTCTCTCTGTTCGGTGTACAGAGGGGAAGGCATTAGAGCAGCAGAGGGGAAGGCATTGGAGCAGCAGAGGGGAAGGCATTGGAGCAGCAGAGGGGAAGGCATTGGAGCAGCAGAGGGGAAGGCATTGGAGCAGCAGATGGAATATCGCAGTGATATCACAGTGATCACTACTGCTGCAGTGGTTGTCAGCTTCCCCAGCAGTCCTCTGGATATCAGGTATGGATATTTACATCAAGCCAAGCTGGACCGATGCAAGTTTAAAAAACATTTCCTGGAGTTCCTCTGTAAAATCCTACTCTGTCATGCAACGCTGTATCCAAATGAAATTTATATCATTTTCAAACAAATAGAGCTTTCTTTTTGTGGCATTTGATCACCAATGGGTTTTTTATTATATAAAAGAAAAAAAAAAAAAGTGAACATTTTTAAATAACTTATTTTATAACTATAAAAATATATCCAATAAAATCAAATTTCTTCATTTATTTAGGCCAAATGTATTCTGCTACATGTCTTTGGTAAAAAAAAATCCCAATAAGTGTATATAAATTGGTTTGTGTGAAAGTTTTATGGTCTACAAACTATAGTAAATATACTGGAATTTACGCAGCTTTTACTTGGACTGCCTTTCACATTTCTTGAGTTGCTAAAATGTCAGGGCAGTACAAAGAAAAACGCCTTTTTGGAAAGTAGACACCCAAAAGGTATTTGCTGAGAGGCATGTTGAGTCCAAGGAAGATTTTTGTTTTATTATATTTACATGACAACAGACGTCAGCATGCACGCCCCAAACCCGGAAGCCAGGTGGCGATGTATGGGTATGTAGCCTAGTCTGGCTGTGCCGCCTCCTCGCAGTAAATGTACTGTGAGAGGGCGACAAGTAGATAAACTGTCAATAACCACCTCCCGCCCACCATATAAGGTAATGACAGGCGCAAGGCGGTTCTCTCGTTCTGGGAGGATGACATATGATGTCCTCCCATTCTAACCGCGCATGCGCGGCTCCGGGCACATGCAGTGCGGCAAACAGTGGTGCACTGCGTCCCTCGGACACAGCGGATCACTGATCAACGGAAAGAGCCGAAGATGTCGGCTTGGTCATGTGATCAGCTGTGTCCAATCACAGCTGATCACATGTAAATAGGGAAATCCCGGTTTTCGGCATTTCTCGCCTCACGAGCTGTCACGCTGACAGCTCGAGAGGAGAGCTGGTAATCAGCATTCCTCAGAGGGGACATGTACACTGATCATCAGGGGATCAGTGTGCCCTGATGATCAGTGTAGCCCCAGCAGCGCCACCTGTCAGTGTCCATCAGTGCCAGCTGTCATTGCTCATCAATGCCAGCTGTCAGTGCTCATCAATGCCACCTGCCAGTGCCCATCAGTGCACATCAATGCCACATATCAGTGCCCATCTGAGCTGCCTTTCAGTGTTACCCATCAGTGCCATCTATCAGTGCCAGTCAGTGCTACCTATCAGTGCTGCCAGTCAGTGCCGCCTACCAGTGCCAGTCAGTGCCGCCTACCAGTGCCATATATGAGTGCTGCCTTTCAGTGCCCATCAGTGATGCCTGTCAATGTCCATCAGTGCCACCTACCAGTGCCTCCTCATCACTGCCCATC